CCGAGCTTGCTTCCTGTCTGGCCCACATAGTATTTGTTACAAGTTTTGTAGTGGATTTTGTAAATCACACCACTTGTTTCTTCTTTGTTAAGCCGGTCCTTACCATTGAAGAGCTGGTCTCGGATAGTTTCTGTCGGCTTGTGAGCAACTCTGATTTCGAAAGGTGGTAGCAGTCTCGCCGCCATCTCAGAGACGCCGTTGAGGTATGGTAGAATGATTGTCCTTTTATCCGTTTCTGATGTTTGTTCATCAGAAACGGGAATAGCGTGTCACGGCACTTCCACCATTGCTCACGATTTCTTACCATATCGGTTTCCAGCCAAGCGTGTTCGTGATCCTTGCGCCCCCAGCAGCAGTACGCTGACACACTGTGCCGACGCTTCGCAGTCACGCGACCACCACCGGTCGCGCGTTGGCTGTGTATAACGCGAGGACGCCCGCCTCTACGCGGATTCGAACCGGTGACTTTAGGATTGCATACCAGGCGTGCAGTCCACCGGACGGCAAACTCCAGCACAGCCTCTCGCTTTAATTTACCCTTTTCAAATTCGTACACATGTCATCTGCCGACTTGAAACGCCCAAAGCCAACGACCATCCTGCCACGAGTAAATCCGGCGAGATGAGTATTGAATGATATCGTGTGCAATACTCACTAGATTATTGTAACAACGCATTTGCTCAACTACAGATTCACGAACAATGATTGTAACTACGACATAGTCGATTAGGCCCACTGAAGCTCCACACTGTATCATCACAAAACACTACATAAACGGAGGTTCAACAGTGCCTAAGAGTATTAATTACTGGGCGCATTACACCAACTTGGCGGATCCCCATTCGGTACACTTGGCAAACGTACGGTGGAAGACTTCACCACCGAACATAATGAGCAGCGGAGTCACCTACAATTTCTCTGGCTGGAATGGTGAGTCAAAGAGCAGTTTAACCAACGCGCGATTTCTTGTCGTAGATTTCCCGAGCGCATCAGTCAGCTATGGGTTGGGAACACGTTTTGGAGTGAAACTCACGCTGCGTGACATCTCCACAGACTTTCCTGTTCCACACATAACCACATGGACGTAAGGCTGACTTGCCAATCCACCCCTAGCGTTGCGCCGTGGAACGTTGCAGAGATACTTCATTTCCTAAATGAGTCACAATATGCTCTGTGCCGGTATCCATTAGTTGACCTTAGTTCTCAATCATTCTGATTCCATCACCAATAGCCTTGTCACTGTTACTCCCCTATGACTTCCTCTGCTTTCCACAAACTGCACGAATCGACCCAATTTTCACTACCCTCCGCGTGCTTTAACTGATATCCACCATTCGAACTACTGATTGTGATCATTTCGTTCTGCATTCAACCTCTGTCGGTACATTTGACTGCTTAGTTATGACGCCGCCATCAAGTGGAAGAAGAAAATCGGAAATATTTCCAACCACTCTCAATCCTACCGTGTCCTGGAACTCTATGACCACCTATTCACTCCGCGGCAAGTGCGAGCAGCGCCACACTTAAGGCAGGCCGATAATAGCTGTGTTTCTTGATTTCAAATGTGTTCTATTCAGTTGGTCGATGCATTCTGTTTCATATACTTGTGCGGAAAAGTATTTTCATGAAAGATGAGAACATTTTGCTTGACCTGTACTCGAACACTACAGGCCCCCATTGGGGTCTACATTGACTTATCGGATATCTTTGCGACAACAAATGGCGTTCCTCAGATTTTTCCAATTCCTCCATTTTCGTTCCTTTTTGTCCTGGACTCTTCATAGAGTGCTCCCTTGAGGAGCATCACGATGCAGGCGTTGAGGTGCTGTCTGATGAAAAGCTAGTTGATCTTGATTATGCAGGCGAAATGGCTTTGCTCCCGGACAACGTTAAGTGGGGCAGTCAGCCCAAAATTATCTCTCGTGTGGTCCTCACATTTGACATGCGCTTCTTATCTTCAAAGTGCAACGTGGTGTTACAAGACCAGCAGCCACCTGTTAATAGCCGGGAGCTAGAGGTAGTTGATCACTTCACCTACCTTGGCAGCTGCATCGGCGACGATGGGTGCATAACGACTGAAATCAGTTCACGCATTGCAAAAGCCAGAACTGCTTTCTTGCATCTGACCTCTTTGGCGTCAGAAAGCGGTTTCCCTCGTTCTGAAAACCCATGTTTACAAAGTCTCAATTAGGGTCGTTTTACTCTATGCTAGTGAGACGTGATCCCTTTGGTCTGAGGATCTGAAACGTCTTCAAATCTTTGGTTATCGCTGCTTGCGTAGCATCGTTGGCGTCGGGTGGCACCATCATATCCGTAACGACGATGTGCGTAGGCGGGTGCTATGCAGTAATAATCATGCTAGTTCCTTAGAATCATACATAGCTGAGTACTGAATTGTTACGTTGGCTTGAGGAAGTATTATATATGCCCAGTCACCACTTACTGAGAAGTGCCTTGTTTTATTTGCCAAGTGGATAAAGTTCAACTTAGCATCGGGAAATGACGTCACAGATGACAAAACTGGGTGTCGTTGGTCAGTCTCGCCTTCCGGACTGGAGTCCATGTGACGCGCCTTGTGCTTGGCTTGAGATGTTACAGGACATGGCTCGCAATGGACAACAGTAGCATGTCTGCTACATTCTCCTACTAGGACCGCCTGTTTAAATTGCGTTTTGTGCTGAGTTATCTGTGGGTTAATGGCTGATTATGGTGCTGGACAGCGATCGCCCTAAGGAAGCTGTCTCGCTGATATTGTTTTATCTTTGGACGATATCCAGCTATTTGTGACGATATATTGTTGACAAGCTATAGGCGCCTTGACTGTGAATCTTTGTTTAGGGCATTACGATTTTACGCTAGGTCCTTCTCTCCCTCTTATTATTCTTTATTCCCTAGGTCATCAAGGTTGCATGGCAGCGAAGCATCAGCTCAAATGGCTGATGTACTGTTGTTGTTGATGATGATGACATCGTTACAAACTTAGGGTCCCCAGCATGAACAAAGTATCACATCAGCTTTGTATCGAACGAAGAATCGTAAACTTATGGAATACACTACCAGAAGGATTAATGGAGGCCGATTCTGTGAAGTGTTTTAAAACCCGTATCGACGAGTATTTTGAAGACCTGTGCTTTTGTGAAACGATGCACATACAGTGCCAAAAGAAGACATTGTATGTCCGGAACTAATGACGCTAGTACAAATTTATAACCGAACACGGATAAACGATTAACGGATAAGACACAACTGCTGATAATTCACAAGTAAATTTTGATTTTTCGTAATTCGATAGAGTTGTACAGAGACCTTACTACTTGCTCTTAAATGCAGTCTCAGTCTCAGAACTCCACGTTACAAGGAATAGCGGTTGCTGACCCTATCCTCGTTTATCGTCCAGCCATAAATATCATCACACCGACTGATACGCACGTCGTCTCATTGTGTTCATCGGCCACTTGCAGTAGAATGCGCATCCTTGGGCTTTTCCGAATTTACCACTTATAAGCGATCTTTTGTAAGTGATTGAACATGATTTCTTTGGTCAACACCTTAATATTGCTTGAGTCTCTCCGCGATTGATGAATCAAAACTTGTCGTCTCAATGCCCCATAGGACGACACTCATTTTCACACAATCCACACTGTATATTCTGGTTCTAGCTAGTTAGTGTCCTATTGGAGCGGGTACAACGAGATTCTCCGTACTTTATTGCTCACAACACGCTAGTGTAGCAAAACCACCACGGTACTGCCATCCCACTGAGAATTTTAAACGAAAGTAACCGCTGTATTTTGTGTTTTCTGCTTGTGCTCCTATTCTGTGTGAGGAACATGCAACCGGAGACTGGGTGTTGGGAAGACAAGCAGCTACGATAGTGATCAACTCGCAGACGATATGATTGGTTGCTTGTGACATTCATTCGGGTGCTTCCGCATTCATTTTAACATACTTCCGTTGCCTTTTCCTCTCCCTATGCGCGGCTAGTTTCTCCCTCGTCTCATCGCTTCTGATCATCCCACTTTCATACGAGTCCACAGTGATTCGCCCCTCTGATGGGTATTAACGCCAGCATTATGAACGCCTCAGTTCGGGACCGTGCTCCACGATAGAAGAAGTTGGTAGAGTTGTTATACTCGCTCATTACTGTCCATGTTGCTGCTGGTGGGTCCTCTTCTGGTGACACATTCGGATTTTGGCGTTTGGTCTCTTCGCTCCATTTAGTGAACGTTCCTCATCGTTGTATTCCTCTGTGATTCTCAACGGTGACTTTCATACTATTCGAAAACGTGGTCCTTTACTATTTCAAGTCCAGAACAAAGGGACATCTCCCATACAGAATATCGCTTTCTTTCTAAACCAGGCATCATGAGTATGTAGGTGTCACAGAGTGATGCAAGTCGCTCTGATGTGTTCTCTGAAAATGTACACTCGATTCCACGCGCATATTACACCTACTTTCTGGCCAGCTCTGCTTAGACCATGGATTAATCATGCAACTTTAATTTTTCCGATACCTTTGTCTAAGGAAAATACTCGGTAAGCAAACACTGCAGCACTCACCCTCGTCAGAATAAGGTGTGTTCCACCTGGCTGTGCCTCGGTTTTCACTGGTTTATGCGCAGATTGCATGGTACAAACCATCGAAGATTAGATGGGATTGGTCAACTGGTGTAATTGGGTGCTGAATACATTCGTAGAAGGTGTCGCTGTAGCTCGAGTTTTTCAATACATGATTGTTTACGCGAAAACTAGATTGGACTCTAATTTCACCTGTTTTCTAACGTTACACCTCATGCACAACCTGGAATTGCCCATGTTACTTGGGCATATCAATGCTCATTTGATTTTTTCGGTCCTCAACACACCTCTCACTACATGCTTTACGTCATTTTATTTCATACCGTTTGTGTAGAGAGCAATTCGATGTTCCTCCGGCCCAGATCCTTTCTTGCGTTCCTTTCGTCTAACCTCGTTTTTCTTCCGCTTTCCGCCTTTTTCAGACTCAACTATGGCCAACCGACCTCATCTTCGGTTACCGTTTCCTGTACTGTTCCGCAAATTGCGTCTACCGAAGAACCTCTAAAGCCTTCCGGACCACTCGTTACCCCGACTTTTAGCTCAACGACTCCCGCGCCAACATTTTCTGCTGTCAGTCAGGATAAACCCCTCTCTGTCAAGCCGACCGATAAGCCTTTCACCTCGAACCTGCCTCATGAAACTACTATTTCATCATCGGAATTTACCCCTAAAGTTGCCCATACGGCTCGAAATGGGGCACCCAATGCACGTGATTCCCAGGTCACACCGGGCACCGAGACATTAAATACCCCTCCTGAAGCTACCTCAGTGACTCAAAGCAAGCAGCTGTTGTCTGATGCTACTCCTGGCATTACTGTTACAGTCGAATCACCACAGAAAGCTACGTTTGGGTCACGAATCAAACCTCCATCTATTCAGCCTCGTGTATCCAGTAACACATTTGACGTGCTTGCCCGCACGCCAGAGTTTCCCGTGCCTTACGTACCAGCGAACCAACATGCCCCATCGGCTTCAGACACCACTGGATTGCCTGAACCTAAGATGCTTTACCAAACGCGAAGTGGACAGATGGCAAACCAATCAGATACCATGGCCCACGCGTCATCGTCGATTAAGGTAACCGCCTTCATTATGTTTCCGTGACTCCAATCAGTGCAGTCCTGGAGACAAACGGCTCCAAGCGACTTCTATACGCATTACTTATGAGTAGGATGAATTTAGTTGTAATTTTAATATGTTCATCCCAGCAGCTCACAGGTCCCGTAGCTCAGCCACAATCCGGAAATACACCAGACGCGTTTCGCCCTATTGGAGCTCGGCAGTGGTGCGCATTCCCTTAGTCCCTTACTGCGGGTCGAACCCACGACCCCTAGCGGCTGACGCCAACTAGGTAGTCAGATGCTTAAGCCACTGAGCCATAGGGGACGGCAGTTGGACTACATAATTTGCAAGCTAACTTGGATAAGCACGACCTATCTTCCACTGCCACGCAGGTTACTATCCTTGCAGATGACAGTGGCTAGCCTCCAGGTCATGGCTTCCTCTCACTAGGCCCATAGCATTCGAAACTGGCGTGGCTACTTTTTATATTACTTATAAGTAAGATGACTTTAGTTGTACTTTTTAATGTGGCTGAGCTATATAACTTTGAGCTACTGTGATGCTGTCATCTAGAAGAGTAGTAACCTGCGTGGCAGTGCAAGATGGATCGTGCTTTTCCAAGTTAGGTTGCAAATTATATAGCCCAACTGCCGTCCCCTATGGCTCAGTGGCTTAAGCCTTTGACTACCTAGTTGGCGTCAGCCCCTTGGGATCGTGGGTTCGATCCCCAGTAGGCGATCGAGGGAATCCGCATCACTGAGGAGCCTCAATAAAGCGAAACGCGTCTGGTGCATTCCCGGATTGTGGGTTAGTTATGTAGCGTGTGAGCTGCTGGGATGAACATATTCTATGCGCATTGTTTGAATTCTACTACATCTACGAATGTTCCTGCGTTAACCAGCATTTCGCACTGATTTAGAAAGTAATGAATCAGTTACACCTCCAACATACGATCGCCCAGCATGACAGCAGAAAGCTCATGAGGCCATCCAAAGGATGCCACCGTTTCCGAATTTAGGCGATGCAACGGGTCCTGGAGGCCACCGATTCGCGACTTTGCCTAGGTCGGAGTATGCTATACATAGCATATACATCCAGTGTTATCAGGTCTCTCCTTCGTAGTCCTTGACCTGCGAACTGGTCGCACCACTTCAAAACAATCGCCTAAATGTCGTTTTTTGATTTTACACACTCCACTAGTACCGAGTCGTGAATTATGATTCAACACCGTTGGACATCCGGTTATATTTTCATTCATGGATTCTGAGTCACACGATCTCACGATGAATATCTGAGTATCATGTATTCGTAAGTTGCCTGCGTATACGCCAGTTGTTGGCTGTTTCCTTGCATCATTGCCCCGAGGTAGAGTGGGTACCGATGTGCCACCTAACCTCCTACGTCAGCTGATCAGCGCCGTATCTAAACAGACCAACTCTCAATACGCTTCAGGTGGTTTGGTCGGATTTTTGACCATCACATGTTTTTGAACCTTTACGTCGCTTCTGATCGTGCTCTGTTGCGCTACCAGTATTCCCCAAACTTTACCGGGAATTACCGTTAATGATTACCCCGATTGATATCTATGAAGCTATCTCCGTTCACTATTTCGTAAGCTTACTAGGATACCATGGTTATTCAATTTTCGCATAATTGATCTAAAGAAATGGTTTCGGTGGAAGGACATTGTTGTTAGCACACTTTGCGTGGGAGTTTCCGCTTTCCGTATTATCAGCCGTCAGTACGCTTCACCCTGATGAGCTTTCTAAAATCCATAAGAATCTCTTCAGAAATAGAGAACTATGCGAGTAGATAGGCTACTGGCCCACTCTACCTAGTGCCTGCTGACTGATATGGTGCTGGACGGCTCAGAAAAGGGGAGCGTAGAGCAGGTGGATAACTGCTATTGGCACTTTTAGTTACTCCTTATCTTTAACCCCGACAGTTACTCCTTCTCTGGACCACCAAGAACAACATTGGCGCTTTAATTCACCACATCTGGCTGACTGAGTGGGACCGCATTGCGAGCAACTCAGTTGTCTTCGTGCTATCGTGCCCAGATTGGACCTGGTTACATTTGTTCAGTGGCTGCCTCTTAAGCTGAGGTTCATAGCTAAATTACAGCTCTCGGTCATCTATCTACGATAGTGTAGATCAGGGGAAGAATTGACCCACCTCTTCGAACATATGTGGAAGGGCACTGTCCTTATCATCTTGGGCAAAACGACTATAATGGCACCATCCGGGAGGGGGGTCACCGCACCTACTCAAATTGAAGGTGTGTTTGCTGGGCCAACCTACCACCAGGTCTCTGATACATACAGTAACACCTACCTCGTCGCAGCGTTATGCATCCTACTGTTTACTGACAGTCTGATATCCCGTCGCCTTCACAGATAGCCAAGTCTCTGGAACATCGCATAGGCCTTGTTGATAGGCAAAGTAACTTCCCGTGATGTGACCTTCAGATATGACACAGTTACCAAGGTAAGCGAACCGATCCAACACTTCCGTTGGCTGTTCGGTGATGGCTAGCATCAGAGGCGTATCGATCCAGTCCTGCAACAATACTTTGCATTTGGAAAGTATAACCCATATGCCGAAACATGCAACGCTGCACACCAGTTGATCCAGTAATTGTGTACATTATCGCTACGTCAGACCTAAGGAGGACAGTGTTGTTCGCCTACTCAAGCCATTTTGTCGGTCACTTGTCAGAACTCCCACTCTGGTAGAATCTGAAAGGACAGAGTCCTTGATGATCATTTAAGTCACAAAATTGAAGAGTAATTTAGATGGATAACCATGGCGAATCCCACCTTTCATGGCGAACTCAGGGGACAGCTTTCCGTATATCTTTACATGGGCTCGTAAATCACCATAGAGTGACTCCTGAATGGAAATGAATTTAGCTGACGCCCTTCATGGTTAAGCAGCACCACAATTTGGCGCTGTCATTAAAGTCGAAGGCGGCTTCCAGTTCAAAGAAAGGTATTGTAGTCAATTATCTGTCAATGTCTCTCTGCTGTAGCACAAGCCGGGCGGAAACCCGCCTGGCTTTCAATGATTCTGCCCTCACAAGGATCATTAACTCGTAATTGTAATGTTTTCGTCCCAACTGTTCACAAGCTACATAGCACAGCCTAGTGCGGTAAAGCACCAGACGCGTTTCGCTCCCAGCCACAGCCACAGATTAGTAAATCGTCAACGAATGATAACTGAGAAGTTTAGAGTCGATGGAAAGAATGCTAATGCCTCGGCGGATTTCGCGCAGTTACTCTTTTTAAAAATGGGCACGGCAGTTGGCAGTCACCTGTTAGAAGACACTTCTTCAGTGTGTAAAATCATGTTGAATAGTGCAGTAAGCGCAGTCAACAAGGAGTAGCCTCCATCTTTCAGCATTGATGTAGGAAATTCGTCGCGTCTAAGCACCTTGTTTCGTCTCAACACGGCGAGCCCATGTCGATTCTGTTGTGAAGTGGTGCGGCTCACGTGATTCTGTAAGCGGCAGTGTCACTGCAGGCCTGTTGAACTGCTGTTCAGAATGTTACGCAAGATTGTATTACGATAGGAAGAAATGCGAGAGAATAAAATTCTAAATTTTGAACATATGTGAAAGACAGATAATGTTTGTGAGAGAACATTATGTAGCGGATGAAAGCAGTCACTTGGAACCTGAGAAGAAAAATTCATGCAAGCGTCGAGATGCTTACGAGCAATAAAATCAACTATGGAATCTCTAGGTAAGCCACCACATCTGGAAATATGTTTGATGAATCGCACAATCAAAACATAGTTTTTTGCAGTAGTCCAGGCAAGATTACTGGGGAACGATACAGCCGGTGGGGTTGTATACATGGTTACAAATCTCAGAATAAGGCTTCGTGTTGCGGAGAACTTCTTAAGTCGGAAATCATAAAAAGATAACCTTCTGACTCTGTGAAACGTCTCCAAAAGGCGCATGGACCAAGAGAGCTTTTGTGAAAAATAGACACCGAGATGTTTGACAGTGAATGAAATAGGAATTGTTTTGTCGTCCAAAATTAATAGACTAGAGGCATCTAAAATTGATCGCAATTTATCAAGGCGGAGAGATGAAACTGTTACATCAGTACATTTCGAAGCATTAAGGTTAAGGGACCTGGTTGAGCACCACCTCACAAGTTCGTCTAAGCCACATTGTAGCCTAGACATCTCAGTGGATGGATATCTGCACCCCAAAGCAACATCGTCAGCATATTTACAACCAATGAATGTTGATGGTAAGGGGGGACCTTCGTGATAAAAAAGAGAGTAAAAGGGGTGAGAGGATCGCGCCTTGCAAAACACCACAATAAGCGCGGAGCGTAAAAGAGCTTTTCCTGTTTAACTGCCTAAAGTGCATGCGATTAGTGAAATAGTCACGCAACCAGTTACGAACATCGGCGTATACTCCGTTCAAATAAACTAGATTAAGCGGAACTGATCGGTCAAAACCCAAACGCTTTTGAATAATCAAACAAAAAGTCGTACGGACCTACACCTTTTATGCAGTGCAGAGGCTAATGAATGCACAGGGTACGAGGCAACACCATGCTTGGAGCGCTGGAGTCTAAACACAAACTGGTAGAGATCATCAACACAAGTGACTGTGGAAATCCGTGGAACTAGTCGCTTTTCGAGGACTTTTAAGTGAACATATGTACAAGCAATAGGCCAATACTTGTGAGATCTGCTTGTAGGAATTGGCGTTATTCTGGCTGGAGTCCAAATTTCGGGGATGGCACCGGTCTCGAGACATTTGTTAAAAATATCAGTCAAGGGTAAGGGAATCTGCGTACTGCTTCAAAACCACGGGTAATAAACCATCAGGACCATAAACTTGATTTGAATTTAGATTCTTGAGTACTCTGCTGACGTCAGCTTGGTCAAATAAGGCGACTGGGCATGACCTAGTGAACTAAAGTAATGGAAAAGCGTTCAATGGAGCGAAACTAAACTGAAAATTGAGTTTGTCAACCTCCACGATTCCGGTACATCCGATAGTACGTTTACCACAGATTTGCTTTAACAACCTCCAGAGTTTGCGACGGTTACGGTTTCCCAGTAACGTTTCAATGTATAAACTGTTTAGTCCTGTTATTTCAGCTTTAATTACTAAAGTCAAACTCTTGACTCGAGTGGTCATCTTGTGTTTATAAGCACTTTCTTTTTTCTTCAAGTTGTTTTAGCAGGGTTGAAGAAAACCTGTCTGGTCGCAGATAGATTGTCTCTATAGGGCAGCATAGGTGGAAGCAGAAGTTTACGTAACTGGTGAGATGATCGCATTGAAACGATAGATCTTCATCTGTAAAAACTGAAAAATCGGTTGAAGAAAGCGTTGCTTGAAGTCGTGCGATATTTTCCACCGAGCAATTGCGTCGTCGGATAGTTCTTAATTGTCGTTTCGTCAAGGCATTTGAATTGAAAGCAAACGAGTTTTGTTTGTGTAATCAACATCAAGCTGTACGTCTTGTCTGGTTGGGAAGTTAGTAAATTTGCCAGATCAAGCGAATTGAAGAACGTTATATCACATTTATTATAGTCACTGGTGACAATGCAGGCAGATCATTCTAATTTTAGGAACAATACTAAAGAAAGTTGACCAACTAAAAGCTTCAGTTCGGACGATTATGTGTAACTGGCACTGTGCTAGTTTCCGACAACAATGGATTGAAAGCCACTGAGAAATTTAAGCTTACATTCAAATAAATGACAGCTAATGGAACTTGTAGAGTGAGTGAATAGTTGGTTGACTGAGTTGCACCAGTTGGTTAGCTTACGTGATGACGTCGCCACCACGATTCCTTGGCTTACCTGAGCGATCGGACCTAATCGCACGGTATCCGCTGGTGCTAATGACTCCATCTTCAATCTCAGATACAACCATCTTGCTTATAACATAGTAATACCCGTGTTTATATAGTCCTTTCGTTGTATACGAACTGTGATTTTCCTAGCAATGAACGCACCTTTCTGGAGAGGATGAGTGGTAATTGCTTTTTCTGCAAAGAGCATCATCCAAGACTAACTTTCCAACCAGTGCGATGTTTCCTCACGTTGCCATAATGTTTTCTCACAGTCCGTCTGAAAGTCTTCTTGACTTTACGACCGTAGTCGACGAAAGGTTTTTTACGTGCCACACTTCGAAATGATTTCGAAAAATCGGCAGCGTAGCATAACATTGGTAACTGGGATATGGTTTAGTTAAACAAAGCTGATAAAATAAAATGACAAATGTTATCGGTCCGCGGTAGATAGTGTACAATCACCGATGTTCCAAGAGGCAACACCAACGGCCAATTTGAGTGCCTAGTTCACAAGGATATGTTCATGGTTTGTGAGTCCGATTTAGTCTGACTTCTAACCATTGATCTGCCTGGTAATAGTGGTTACGTAGGTACTTGGAAAGTGCCGCTCAGTTTACTGGCTCACGGAGGTATCTAAACAATGGCACCACGCTAAGGTCCAGTGTCGTTGCGATGTCTTCGTCCTTTCTACCTCGGCAACTACTGCTTCCCAGTATTGTTTAGGCGTACACATGATTAGGTTAGCACAATTCTTTCATTGTTTCAATGGTAATTGACTTCAGTGAAGCTCAATCTTTACCTATATCCGCCTCCTCCCTGAGTCCGCACATTTTCTTTGAGCATTATGAAACAAACTCGGTTGCATGGATGGAAATTGTCTGTTTGGATGGAAGACACCAAATAGCAGTTAGGATAACTTATCAATTGATCACAACATTGGAGTAACTTTTTGTTGAAAGATTGGCCAGCGGATGCGGAATGAACAACTTGCCCTAGCCTTTACATTTTCAGACAGCATTATTTCTTTCTGAATCTGTGGTCGTGGCAGCGAACGAATTGTGGGTGGATAGATTGGCTAAGGAGTATTTAACGTTTCTAAACTGTGCACCCAATTACAGAGAGCAAACAGCATACACTTTTTAACTGACATCAAGGCTGGGGTTACTTCTCACTTGGCGGGCGACTTCACGATAATCCGTAAGCAACAGTTCTAAAGATGATGGTTTGGAATTCGTTGAAATCTCCAGTTAAAATTGAAAGCGGAATAATTAAGAGTTTTACTGGTCGATATTGTGAAGGCACTTTTATTGCCCTCTACTTCGAAAACGTTCCATCCGCTTAGACGGTTTGCGCTTCAATGTCTTGCACCTAATGTGTTGTGAAAAGATACTAAGACCGATTATACCCCACTACCTTCACTGTTTCAGGCGGTGCTCAGGCAGCCTATAGACTACCGATAGATCCGTCTACTGCTATGATTTTGTTCCCCGCATACCGCATGGAACTTGGGTTCTTGCAGCAGTTACAGCTGACTGTACTTTTCCGGTGACAAGCGAACGCTCTCACTAAGCTTAGTGGGTACAACCATATTTCCGACTTTTTCTTTAAACGTATCCTTCACTCCACATCGGTGGATTTCGTGAATTGTTACGCTTTTCTGTGCGTGTGCCACACAGCATTTCAGAATATCACGCGTGTAAACTAACAGCAGTATTGTGGGTCATTTTGAAGTACGCGTTGTGTGGATGGATTGCGACACGCAATCTCAATTTTGACCGCGGATCCCATTGAAGAGAACCTTGGTCTTTCGATGACGAGGACCGTAGCTGAAGCAGGTGGAAATTGGCTGTTGCCCGCACGAAAACACTGCACTCCTATGACGCGTTTCGATGTTATTTCATCCCATCTCTATCTGTTGAGATAAAATAACTTCAAAAGGCGTCATAGGAGTGTTGTGTTTTCTGGCAGGCAAAGCCCAATCTCTATCTAACATATCAGTACTTACAAAATGAGCAGACTAACAAGGAAAAGCAGCCCACTCTTAAACACAGCTAGCGATGTGTGTTGGCAATATCCTAAAAAGTAATCTGAAAAGTATTCTGGGCGACAGAACAACATGTGTTATGTACTTAGATAACTTTTAACACGGACTCCGTTTCCAAGCTTCCTTTGCCACATGTACAAAGATATTCGCATAAAAACGTCGTTTCACCGAAAATCTGTCTCATATCTAACTTTTCTCACAAAAATTGTTCCCTCTTGGTCGGGATTTGGTCTAGATACCATCGACCCTTTCGTTAAGACCTCGCTTTCTTTTACCGCGTGCATTCCTTATTGAACCACTGTGTCTTCCCTTTGTAATTTTCTCTGCTCTTAACTCTTTTCCCCTGCTACTTCCAGCAGTTTTCGCGCCAGTCCCCTGCGGGTCCGTTAGTCACTAGCTCAAAATCCGGCACGCCTCCCACTCCCGTGCGAAGCACCTCAACAGTTACATCCGTTTCGCCCGCCCATCCTGAAAGCGCTCTACACACAGTTCATTGCGCCCATATGAGCTCTCGAATCAGGCCTCCTAGCATTGATCCAGGACCTCGTTTTAGGACCACCGTCACGGACAATGATTTTAAGGATGTTACGTCCTGTGCTTCAAATCAGCCTACTAATCCCAACAGCACCAGCGCATATCCCAATAACGCTCTTCCATCACGCAATATTCCTCAACCCACCCCTCTTCCTTCACTTGAGGGAAATATTTCTATCACCACTTCCTTTGGATCGCATCTGAGACATCCGATGCCCACTCCGTCAAGTGGCATAAGGCCACCTGCCGTACGTTTACCGGCTCCCGGAATTCCAAGTAAATCTAGCACCCATTCATCCCTTGGCACCTCGCAAGCACCAGTTGTTCAAGGGGCTAATGTTGGAGCTTATACACCAACGAGTGCGCCCACAGGAATTCGACCACCAAAAGTGCTCCAGTCGCCCTAGTTAGTGATTGGTAAGCATAATTTGTTTTCCACAACTCTGTCAGTGACAATTGACGTTTAGGAATTTTATACGCCGAAGCTCAGCCTCGTTTCCACAATCCATTAACTTTCCTAATTTTACTCTAACGTTATTTTTCACTGTCTTCGCTTTCTGCGATTCAGTATGTCGTTGCTTGCCTCCTTTTACATGCTGCGCATCCCGCTTTGTTTCAACAAGCAGTGGCACTTTCCAACGCAAAAGTTTCGTCCGCCACTCGTTTGGCATCGTTAATTTGGATCGTTGTTCATCTTTAACCCTACTCTTTCTTGGTTTAGGCTGCAGTTTGCGATTAGTATCCATCGCTTAGACCATGCTTATCCGAGCTGAAAACACCTGACGTTACTTGGTCACTTGTCAAGTTTAACCACATTTGTTGACACATACCGATTGTTGTGACCGGAATCATGAAATTTCCTCCTTCACGACAAAGTCCTTTGATCGTACGCAGTTTACTCCCCGCCACTAAATTGACCTCACTTCCTCCTGAGTTCTTTAAGGTGCTTACGAACTATTAAACCGAGCACATTGTCCGCTGGAAGCTAATGCATTCGTTTCACCTTTATCGTTTGTCATTAGTAGATCACACACGTTTCCTCAACAACAGTCACGGAAACACACTTATAGCAGCTTAACCACTAAAGATTTAGAAAGCTACTCTGGTTTCAGTTAACATATATATATATATATATATATATGCAATAGTCTATGGGTAGACATAGAGTCATCAGATACCATGGGACTCAAAAAAGGTATAGAACTAGTAAAAGAAAACACAGCAAAACACATCAAAGTCCATGGTTTCGTCAGAGGGCAAGATACTACCCGGTTGCCCAAGCCGAAGTAGCGTGTTGACTTAGGGGACACCACCCCGAGCCTTTGGCTGAATAGCCTGCCCGCAAGGCAGCAGAGCGAATTCAGGGAATCGTGCCCATTGGGGACCGGTGACTGATTGCTCAGTTCATACGCCTTTCGTTTGTTCTTTTGCCAAACAGGGGTCCAATGCTCCCCAGAATTACAGCATAAATTTGCTGGAATACAATGCTTCGCCAGGATGAAGTGATTTTATTTAGTGGCGAGACACGTCCGCCACGTCACAGTGTTGTTAAACAGACATATATGGCTTTTTGTAGGGAGAACGCTTGCCAGGCGAAAACCCACCACGTTCTAGAACACTGCCGCCGAACTATTTGCTAGAACGGGAAAATCCCGAACCACCCAGCTGGCACCAGGAGGAGGTTGTTCGACAAGCAGTTAGTCGTAACTCAGTACTCATCAGCCTCACTTCTCGTTGTTCAAAATCATCACTCTTCAATTTCGCATATGTATTTTCTACTTCATTTCATCCCACTATGTTATGTAGTATTCATGAAATGGAATTTGATTCGATTTTGATCCATCAACACCACCACTTTCTTTACTTCACTTGGTTGAACCATATCAGCCCTGTGAACATGTTCGCTGATTCCTCTAGAATCGCACTAACTGGACCTCGAGAAACGACACTCTGATCTCCTTGGCTCTCTCGTCCTCTGCAGACCAGAGGTCTTTGGTGTTCCTACTTAGTCGTCGTTTTTTAACTAGCCTACCAATCCTTGAATTGGTCCCGTGCTTAAGCTCTGTATCCGGTATTTTTGTTATATGTGCACTAACTTACGACGGCCTTGTAAATGTTCTCCCGTTCACAACAGATTGCACACACTAACAGAACCCCTGCTCGTCTCCAGTGCGCCCTTCGATATCCAACAGCTGCCTTCCGGTCTCATATCGCCCATCCACCCTGAATATCGTGCTGTTTACCGTTGAGTTTTAACCCTCAATTTTTTCATGGACTCTGAATTGATATATTCCTTTTAATATGATCCCATTTATCTTCCATCTTTTACTATCCATACTATCTTGGAGATTACATTGTTTTCTCTTCAAGCATGTGGACGTTGTTTCCCTTGCAGAATCCTGTGTGCCACCCTTTTGTGCTTTCCATTTACCAACTGTGTATGGAATGTGACGCGCCTATTCGGATTGTTCTTATTCATTATCATTTGAAAACTTTGCCTCCTTCCAATCGTACTGCGACCTTCCTGCTTCGCAGTTACACGCGATGCGTTATTTATAGTTTATTCAACGGACATTGGTCTCGCTTGTGTGGCATCTTTGCGGACGATTACCGGCTCATCAGGTACCAATTGTTCACACGGAATTACGCACCGGTACAAAGCCTCCGCCGTCGCTGCACTTCGGCATATGAGTTTGTGATGCTTGCACAGAACTGACTGTTCGACCTAATTTCTCTCATCTCGTCATGGTACCAAACTATTTAGAATACAAAAACAAGACGGGGTGACAAAGTTACGCTTATGTTGTAAACGCGCGAATCTGGAGCGGAAGACCCCCAGTTGAAACCAGTATTCTCCTGGGGTTCTCCAGTGCGCCTTAATCAAGTAGGCAGGATCCCAGTAGATAACACACCAGGTCACATGGTGTACGGGCGTGTGCTATAAGCCCAATAGCCATTGTAGTGTACGACGACGTCCGGCGCACTTATCGGGCACATAACTAAACGTCACTTAGAAAACCAGTATTCATTCGCACCGTTGATGGCTACTAGATTTATTTTTCAACCTTGGTAGTTAGCTACCATTAGCTTTTGCATATTTTCTGCGTGTCGTTGTCACCGTTAACCCTGCATACAACAGTATAGTCCGAGGAGTAGGACGAAAATAGTGACGAACGCTTTAGGGGCGATGAACTGAAGTAAACCAATGAATTGCATTCAGTCGGCATGCTGTATTTCATCCTAGAAAGCAAGTATCGTTGTAAGGTATTCATTCCGATAGTTCGCAAGTTACATAGCAGCCTAGTCCGGAAAAGCACCAGACGCGTTTCGCCCTATTGGGGCTCGTCAGTGGTGTGCATTCCTTCGGTCCCCTACTGGGGATCGAACCCATGACCGCTAAAAGCAGATGCCAACTAGCCAGCAGCTTAATCCGCTTAAGAGTAATATATAAAATAAATAGCCTCTCCTAGTTTTGAATGCTATGGAAATAGCGCTTAGTGAGAGGACGTCATCACGTCGCAGGCTAGCTACTGTCAGTGACAGTGGAAGATAGGTGGTGCTATATCCCAGTTAGTTTGCAAATTATGTAGCTTAGCCAACGTCCCCCATGGCTCAGTGGCTTAAGCTGCTGGCTAGTTGGCATCTGCCTCTAGCGGTCATGGGTTCGATCCTCATTAGAGGACCGATGGAATGCGCGCCACTGACGAGCCCCAATGGGGCGAAACGCGTCTAATGCTTTTCCGGACTAGGTTGTGCTATGTAGCTTGTGAACTACTGAGATGGAAACCACAACGAACTTACAACTAAAATCCTGCTACTTAAGAGTAATCAAGTATTTAGGCAACGCTCCGCAGTGCAATAGTGAGGGTGGATTTGTAAGCCATTGTCTTACGTCCTTGTGTTTCTGTGTTTACTTGTCACGCAGTGAGTTTCGCTCCACATGTTCCCCACCCATAGTTGACTAATGTGCCCCGGCAATCTACGACAACAAACCGTGCGTGGGCTATGATTCCTGATCCACCCTTCCAGCCACTGCAATTAAATGTGACTCCGCGGCTGGTTATGCTCCGTGGTGAAATCTTCCAACCTACCTTTGCCAAGTGCACCAAATGGACATCCGCCTAGCTAGCGAACTGCGCCCAGTAACTGTTACTCTTAAGCACTGTGAGAACCTCTAACTACGCGGTGTCTTATTTGATCCATTTTCGAGCCTAACTCAACTTAACCGACTTTGCTGTACTTACCATCACTGTTCGTGAACTTGTAATTGAGTAAATGCGTTGCTTCGATAGTCCAGTGAGCATTGTACTCGATATCAACCAGTACTCATCTCGCCAGATTGGCTCGTGGCTGAATGGTTGTTGGCTTTGGGCGTTTCAAGCGGAAATTTATGAGTGATAAGTTTAGCCCCCACAGCCTGTACGTGGGCTGTACACTCGATACGTCCTTTAAACTCCAAGGGTGTTACTTATGTAGCCAAATCGAAATCGAATCTGACCTGAGAAAACTCAGCCGGGTTGTGTACTCAACCTCCTCGCTCGTGGTTATCAGTGCAGTTGGAGAGAGGTTACATTTTGTGAACCCCATAGGTGTAGCACAATCTTCCCAAGCGTGATTCACAATATCTACATTCAGAACGGATAAATACTTAGAGGCAAATATTCTGCTGAACATACTAGCGCTGTCGTCAATAGTGCGAAAATACCTTTCGAGAGGCCTAAATGATAATAAGTTCTAATTGGTTCGAGGTGTAGTGCGCAGGTGGAATCGGAGGTGCTCAAACAAATAACCATTTACCCCAACACCTTTTGGGTAATACTTTTAAGCTAGAGTTGGGGCATCTTGCACACAGTTCCCGGAGAGCATCATCAACCATCAACGCGTTCTCATCAGTAGACTTTTCTTGTGTCCCGCGCCACTTCTCCTGTTTATCGGCGAGAGACAACTTTGACGTCATAACTTTTACTTGCGACGAATCCAACTCGCCTTTTAAACCTAGAGCGTCAGTCTATTTTTGGTCTTTTAACCTACACTTAGTGTCGGGTGCGCCAACAGGTGATGGTGGTTGTGACTTTTCACTCTCTCATATCGCTCTATGCATATCTGACCCAGCTTCCATTGGTAGCGCTTACTCACCGCTGATGCTAAATCTGGCTAACCGTGTTTGTAGTGTCAGAATTATTCTCATCAAACTTGTAGTAACACGGCTTTCCGGTGCATGTTTTCGTATACATTGAACTGATCACCGAGCAGCAAGGTCCTTGGGTTCAACTTGGCCCCTCCGCCATCAGCTCTAGATGGTGCACATCAGTGCACGACTGTCGGTCGATCTGGTTTGTAACTACCTGTATAAGGATCACACTTTGTGTTTCGTCGAAATTTTCAAATTCGTAGTTATTTGATCGTTAATTGTATTCACAATCCGGGAAATGGAATTGCCCGTCTAAGTTGTAGCTTCTGTTTGCACTAGCACACGAACTATATGATCGAACTTTCACCAGGATCAACTTCAATTGGCCATGCAGAAGCGTCCGAGGTAACTTGTTCGTATAATAATTTGCTCTGTGGAACCGATTAATCTAACTGTAGTAAGCGAGATACTTCTGCCTTGTTGGCATCAGCCTACCCACAAATTTCTGTAACGCTGTTGGTGAAGAGGTTTTTGTTTCATGAACACGAAATAACCCGAACGCCTCAACGACGAATGTTAACAACGTTCGTTTTCTGCCATATGTTGGAGGAAGCTGTGATTGCACACACAACCATTAAGCGTCTGCATTCACATAACATATACAGTAACTTTGAGTTACCTACGCTCATCTTGGAAACTGCTATCCAGGAACCTATAATAGCATACATCAAACAAGCTTTGCCAGCCAAACTTCCAAGTGAAATCGTTCAGTTCTGTATACCTGTCTCCAAATCCTGAGAGTTATACGGACCCTCTTCGTTGGACGGACCCAACAACGTTCGATTAGCGTTGTTCGCACGGGCCATGTAGACGAGTACGCAACCCGGGCCGATTATTCCCCTACGGAACGTAGCCGCCGTATAGACGATGAGTGGAAACCCCGCCGTGAGACAAACGTAATCCCACGACCGTACCAGGGACGAGAGAGAGAGAGAGACAGAAAGACATGCATCGCACGAGCGCTTTTACTAACTCAGGAAAATGCAATACAGGTCGGGGCACCCTCTTAGTCATAGCACAAATGACTCGCTACGCTGGACATGAGTTTTGGTGAGACTAAGTTTCTCGCAAAAACCTGCTGCGTTGGGATTTTGAGGTCGCGTAATCCCACTGCGAGTGCTACGCGGCGTAGCGTTTTGCTTGCCCATACGACTCTTAGGATGTGTGCCATGAATGCGTACTTTCGCGAAATAACTTGATGTTCTCGTAACATCTCTCCTTGAAGTAAGGTTGTGCCGTTTTATGACGAGGGTTGGTCTCCCGCGATTTTGGCGATGTGTGGTTTTTTCTGTCCGTACGCAGTTATGGTTGTCGAGACTTGGCGATAGTTCATTGTCTTCCACCGATATCGCGTGTTCCGCTGCGACTCCGATAGGGTCTAAAAAGATGTGCAGCGACAGGCCGATTGGCATGTGTGGTGCTTGTACCTTGTTGCGGCCGGTCTTGATTGCAATGGCAGATGAACCTGCCCTCACACACGGTAACGTCATGCGGCATGTCACCTCGACGGGCCGTCACTGTTGCTTCGACCCAGCACGGATGACGGGCTCGGTAGTCAAGGGCGTACACCGAGGCTCCAGCGACGTAGCCATTGCGACTGTTGAGGACGGCAGGTTATCTTGGCGGCTATTCGATGTGAACGACCGCTTCGAGGGTGATGCTCAGCTTTCTGCCCCTCAATGCTTCGGCGAGATATTGGGCCGCTGGATATAGTTTGATTCTGCATGACATCAGGGACGCCCGAAAGCATTCGTCCACTGTCCCCTTCCCACGAGCTTTCAGGAGCGCTCTCTTGAATGTGTTCATGAAACTTCTCGCTTGATCATTGGTTTGGAGATGGTAGGTGGTGAGCGGTGTTGTATGCAGTGATGCTGACAGAAATCTTCGAACGCCGAAGACGTGAACTGCGGACCTTTATCGCACAACAAAACATCGGGAAATCCATGTTGACTGAGGA